TACTCATCTCCTCTTATCATCTGTCGGATTCTGTAACAAAACAGGAAAAACAGGAAATTACTCACAAAATCTCGAAGCTTGTAAACGGGTTTGAAAATTCAAACGAGTAAACACTGTAGATTGAATAACACGTTTTAGATTCTTAGCAAGCACCAAAAACATCTTTAGCGTAGCTTTTACGACTAAAATTGTTTTTTCTTTGTACAATGTATTTCCTTGGCTTGGGTTAGTAGTGATTTAAGAAACTCTGTTAAACTGTTCGGTCCAGTCAGAGTGGAGACAACGTTCTCCTCGACCAATCAGCAGCGAGTCCATGACCGCCCGCGTAGTTCCCCGCGCTTGATTTCGCGCGCTTTCCACAGATTGCATATTTTAACCTCATCTCCCATTTGCTTTTCAAATTAAATGCGAGGTTTTACAGGGAATGTTGTAACAAAGAAGCTTAACTTATTGATTCAAACATAGATGATCCAGAGTTCACGTCAACCGCGTTTAGACTAATCTCTGTTTAGACGAAGACTTTCTTAAAAGCTTAAACTCATCTCTTGAGTTTAATCCTACGTAGTAAAAATGATGGCGGCTGTACATTTACCACAATACCATGCGAACCTTACACACCCCATAAAGTACAAGAAAAGCGAAAGGAAAGCCATATTTTTGTAATATTTGTTCCTGTGCTAACGACAATGTGTATGATAGTTTAGAAGGTTTCAGAACTTCTTTGTAGGTTTTTATGGGGCTTGTTCAGGTTTTCGTTCGTTAAGAGTTATGGGTAAATGTACCAGTCGCCATGGTTTTTTTTTCTTGGAGGATTCTGGACGTAGATCTTCTCGAACTTTTTTTCCCGAAAATGACACGCGTTGAGGTAGTGATTAAAGCAACACAAATTTCACTTATTTATCACTGAGAATCCAGTGGCAACGGTACGGGAGTAACATATATTTTTTAAATGTTGGTTTTTATTTATTTATGTATTTATTCTTATTGATCTACTGACCTTGAGCCTAAAGTTCCACTTCCCGACTGCGCGTCCCGTTTTTTACGTTTAGCTTTCTTTTTGGAACTTTCTAGTCCTAAAGAATTACGCACATGGTTTTACAGTGAGGCGTTACGTACCGTTGTCACTCAAGAAAAAATGTTTACGTTTTGACTGGTTTTCGCATCTTTGTGTTGGCTTCTTCAAATTTCTAAGCCAATCAAAGCATCAGCAAGTGACTGAGTTGACGTCTCTTCAGCCAATCAAACAACCAACAAGGCACTACCAAAGCTCGTGCACGTTTTAGGCACGTGACCACCTTGACGTCTGCACGTATGATTTGACGTCTGGTTTTTGATTGGGTGAGATATTGGAAGCCAACAAAAAGATGTGGAAACTGTCGCGTGAGAATGGTACGATGTGTTTCATATTGAGATCGTAACTTAACATTTTAACTTTTTGTCAACTTTTTCGACGAAAGTTTAAATTGAACCATTTTTAACAAATTAATAAATTTCAATATTTCATGTATACGGTTAACAATTTTAACGTTTTCATACCCTTTTAATAAATTTTACACAAACTTTCAAGCTAATTTACATCCTTTAACATAAATCCGTTTTAGTTCCCGAGGAATGCCCGTTTATCAAGTTTTAGATCTGTCAGTTATAATTCTAAACTGAAAGGTTGAGTAGTTTATTGATAATTAATGATTAATTAACTAACTCTAGATTACAAGCACTCCATCTTCTTCTTTGTCTATCGAAAGCGTAACGTAACGCAAAACAACAAGTTAGAAGAAAAAGGGCCGCGCTTCCCTTCTCGTCCTGGCGCGGAGTTTTTTCCTCTGGCGCGCTCTGTTCCGTCACGCCCGACAGACAAAGGGAACTGCTTGGAGTCTAAATTCATTGGTCAAAATTCCTTCTCAGTTAATTGAATGATCCCTACGGCAGCTCCCTAGGGTAGTTTTACCGAGTGACATGGCGTAATATGACGTCAATCGAACGAGATCACTTCCGAGGTCTGTACGATCTAAACGAAGATTTACCGACAAGGACCCGAGCTTCCCCGGCACACTAATAAAGAAAGTAAGACCCACCTGATGAAATACTTGAGCTGGATGACGATGCGTTGATCTCACCGTTTCCATCTACAGGAGATGGAATGTCGTTTGCGCTGTTATAGGAGATTACTTCTTGGTAAATTGTACCTGAAATGACACAAGTCAAATCATAAACTCTCCTCGCATGCATGTTATTGTGTGATAAAATTAATGAAGAGAATGTAATGGTAATCGCGCCAAGTGGTCCATGTCGCCGGCGCTAATCTCTGGTTTCTGTAGCATGATGCGACTAGGAGTATTTCTATTCTCCCCTGGATGGAAATCTATCGCAGGGCTACCCCGGCATAAAATTCGTCACTACCCTTTTACACCTTGGTGGAGAGAAGCACTGTGGAAGTTAAGTGTCTTGCCTAAGAACACAAGACAATGTACCCGGCCAGGGTTCGAACCCAGACCGCTCTATCCACCGCGATGACACACCTCCACAGGGAACCTACCCTTCCCCTTCTTACACCGTCGGGGTATGCGTTTGCTTGTACAGTACCGCTCCAAAGTAAGTTACCACCCGAGACGAGAGCTTTAGAAATCTGTAAGCCAGAGGGTTGTGTAATGGTTTCGTTGACTGTATGGTGATTTTTTTGGATTTTTTTGTACTTACGTTTCCAGTCTTCCACAGTGTGGTCTTTCTCGTCTACAACGTGATCGTATTTATTCGGTATTGGCTAGCAGAAAAACAAAAACAAAAGTCTTCAGTAATGTGAGAGAAAATAACTCAATATACTTCAGACACAAAAAAGGAAAACTATTTATTGGTCGTCCGCGGTGAGTTGGCAAACAATACTGGTTTAGCCTCCTATGCAGAACGCTGTATTTTTTTTTAATTGACTCACTGCACAATCTTCGATCTCTAAGATTGTGTGACAAGCAAAAGCCTTCAGTTATAAATATATAATGAACAACTAAATAAATTACAATATTTAGAGAGGAAGCCATAGCAGGCTTAACTAGTTTTCATGCAGGTCCTCTATCCTGGTCGAATTGGAATTTAGAGTGTTGGCTATTGAAGAGGGAGGAAAGCTGGAGAACCCGGAGAAAAACCCTCAGAGCAAGGCGAGAACCAACAACAAACATATGGCACCCGTCTGGAATCAAACTTGAAGCACATTGGTGAGAGGTAAGCGCTCTCACCACTGTGCCATCCCTACTCCCCTATATTAGAACGTGCGATACTCACCGACTCCACTTCACTTCTTTCATACCACACATGTATGTACGGATGATGCAAAGCTTCAATCACTGAGATCCGTTTAGAACGGTCAACCACCAGCATCTTGGAGAGAAGATCTCGACATTGTTCAGCTAAAAATAAATAAAATTACAACAGGGAAAGTCTGAAAACGCTATGCATGATGATTTTCGCATGCACGTTTAAAGGAGCTATGTCCCCGGTGTGTGCATCTTGTTAAGTTTGGCCTAAATTTTTCAAGTTCGTCGTTTGTAATCCGCGTCAATCTTCTCCATCCTTAACCATCCCTGTTCCTTTATGGTTTATTATCATCTCTTTGGTGTTTTTATTTCTTAGTAAAGTATTATTTTCAGGTTTCCTTCAATTTAAAGGTAATTTTATACGTGGCCAAAATAACTCAAAATAAAGTAACCAAGCTCCCTTCATTTCGTGCAATAAGTACAGTCACTTTTCATTATAGCAGATTACAGTTAAAATGAAGGAGAGATGAATATATAAACTTATTTAATTCAGTATTCTATTCTAAAGATGGAATCGTGCTCATAACAACGTAACACATGATCTTCACCTTTAGCTTTGTTTCCTGGTGGAAATAAATCATCTGGGAAGAGAGCTTCAAAACTGAATCCAGGTTGTTTGGGTCGACTAGCACAATACATCCTCACCTGCAAAATAGAAAACACAAAACTGAATGTCAATCCCTGCTGCTGCATGAAATGCGTTACAACCTGATAACAGCAACAAAGGTGACTGTGTGGCATGTCCATGTAAGTTCTAACACATTGTGATTCATATGAATCAAATAAATTGTGTTTATTTTTTGCACAAGGCCTGCAAGTCTGCAGTCCAGGGGGGACTCCTATATGAAAAGGTTGGGGATACTTGTCATATAATTTGAATTAAACCCCTAAACGAGACCAATCTGGGTGTGGTTCGAACTTTATTTGACCTCTAAAAGATACCACTTAAACAGAATAGGCTTGATTACCAGCTGCTGTTCAGGAAATGAGCCCATGCCAGCAGATCGAGCCAAAAAAAGTGTTTTTTACTATTACTATTTCCTTAAGCTTATCGTAAAAGATACTTTGGCAGCTAAAAATAGTCGCAGTTTGTCACATAACCACCCTAAGTGAGACCAGAGCCTTGATGTATACTCCTAAGTGAGATGATGAGCNCAGTATGCATCCAATAGACCACACATCAACGTTCTCACTGTAACCCATACCCAGAATAACCTCAGGCGCTCTGTAGTACCGCGTCACGACATAAGGAGTCATCATGAATGCTGCACCAGCTGTACGTGCAAGGCCAAAGTCAAGGATCTGTTGAATGTTAAATATACAAACAAGTGCTATAATTCTTTATATTAAATTAAAATGTTTAGAGACAAAGCCACATCAGCCTTAGCTGGTTTTCACGCAGGTCCTCTATCCTGTTTGAATTGAAATTTGGAGTGTTGATTTTTGTAGAAGGAGCAAAACTGGAGAACCTGGAGAAAAACCATCAGAGTAACGAGAACCAACCACACAATGGCAATTGGCTGGAATCAAACCCAGGCTGCATTGGTGAGATGCAAGTCCTCTCTCACCACTGCACCATCCCTGCTCCCCAAAATAAAATCACACTACATGTAAATCTACATCTACAAAGGTATTCTGAAGGCGACCCGTGAGTTGATTCCAATTGGATGATCTCCTCAAGACTACACTCTAAGACAAGGTGCTACATGTTGCTGGCCTGTACTGTTGGGTATCTCCCTTACTATTTTCAAACAGTTGTAGGATATTTAACATCCGGGCCTTAGTTTTTGAAAAAAAAAAAAAACTACCTGGCTGAAATAATATTACTTTTAAGAAATAAAACAACACTTCGACAAAATTTATAAGTACAATAAATATTAATATTAATAGCTTTCATACCTTAAGTGAACAATCTGACTTAACAACAATATTACTTGGCTTTAGGTCCTGCAAATGTAAAATAACTCCCAAGGTCAAAATCACAATTCTCCTATTGTCTCTCTATCATTTTCTTTAATATTTACAAGAGACTTTGGTTTTAATCAAGTCCTTTTGATAATGAAAATTACTTCATAACACTTGTTCAAAAAGTGTGGAAGAAGAAAATGTTGAGGTTACTTATACAGTTGAACCGCACTATTTTGAACTCTCAAAGGAAAAATAGTTTGAAATAGCAGGAGTTCGAAATAGCCGATAGTAAATGACTGAAGGTCGTATCCAAGGGATAGTTCAAAATAAGTGAGAATTTGAAATTAGATCTCTCCACAGTAAAGACTGTCAGTCAGCCTTCAAACTATAATTTTCTATGGTGAATTCGGTTTCAAATAGCACATCTCTGCTGAGATCACATGTATCAGATCTTAGATTCTCATGACTGTCAGGGTTCCAGGTAAGTTTTCAAGGTAGGGTGTCAAAAAGGAATTCCAACAGGCAATTCCCACTGCAGCCACCAGATCATTAGAAATTTCCTATTAATTTGTCGGGTTATGTAGCTGATCTTGTTGGGTTTTTGACCTGAGAACACTCAGTTATCTAGAACACTGGACTGTATGTTACACAAGAATATGTAGAAGTCAGTGATACATCATTGTTTAAGTGTTATAGACTTACTCTGTGAATGATGCCTGCATCATGAAGGTGCTGAGTGAAAAAGAAACAAGATTATATTTCATTTCATTGATAATAATAATTATTACCGTTAAGTAATATACATTGCTGGGCTTGAAAAAAGTGTCGTCCCATTGTCCTTCTGGGCAAGTAATTTTTCATCTTCACTTGCCCCATGGGCAAGGGATCAAGCAAGTCATCTGCTGAGAGCAAACTCAGACTTGTCCAAGGCAAGCAAAATTTGAGAGTTATCATCCCAAGGGCAAGCTGGGATTCAAGTTTTTTTCAAGCCCTTCATTGTCTGGATTTATGAAAACAATGTTAAAGAAAATCTCACCCTGCTCAAGAATTTTTTTTTGCAAAGTAGTCAGTCAGTCTTTTTTGTTCCTCCACTCTTTTACCTTCCTTTTTGTGTACTGAAGTTTTTGTTTGTTGTTGTTTTCTTTTTTGTTACTTGGAGTGATTTTGAGACCTTAAGGAGTCATGAAATTAAAGTGCATACTAGGTCATTTGGTAAAAAGGACCCATTTTTCAATGACATGGTTTTGATAAATCCACGTGCCTTGTGTTCAGGCTGTAGTATAATATACATTGAATGAAGTTACACATATCTGAGCATGTGGACATGAATTTGAAATAACAATACCCAAAACCTTACTTTAACTCCACACAACATCTGGTACATTAGATATGAGAGCCTCTCATGGTCCAAATCCATCTGAATCACTTGGACTAAACTTGCATCCATCAACTCTGTCACTAGATATCTGGAAAGAGACGGAATACAGAATTTACAAAGTTTATAGCAAAAATATATTTAGGTCACAATTCATTCTTAGTACAACATGGTAAGGCAACTAACTTGACCAGGGCTCAAAAAAAGTGCCATTCCATTGTCCCAGACAAGTAGATTTTCCTTCTGGACAAGTAACTTCTCATTCTCCCTTGCCCACTGAGTAAGGGATGAGGCTCATTGTCCGCCAACTAAATCATCAAAATAGCAAACTAAGACTAAGTTGTCCAGGGCAAGTTAAATTTGAGAATTACTTGTCCCAAGGGCAAGCTGGAATTCGAGTTTTTTCCGAGCCCTGTTGTCCCAGACTGTTAAAAGTTTCCTACTACCTTAAGAAAACTGAAAAATTCAGAAAATGTCTCTCAACTGTTTCCCCAGAGTTCCAAAGTAGACCACTATAGAAAAATAGGCTTACAACAAATCAGAGGTACAACAACTATTTTCTACAGTCATTTTGTAGATTCAAGGTCTCAGAACAGTTTGAATGTGAGTTACCTGATAAGTTGATTACATTTTTTTCTATTTTTCTATCAGTACATGTAAGCATCTGTTTCCAGACATTGTACAGTGGAACCCCATTAATTTGGTCACCAAAAGGTCACAAAAATCTGGCCGTGTTACCAGAGTGGCTGTGGTAAAGGAGTTCTTTAAATAAGAAAATGATTGACTGAGCTTTTGTTCAGGCCAGGACAAAGTGACCGTAATAACGAGGTGGCCATATTAACAGATTGGCCACAAGGCGGGGTTCCACTGTACCGTTAAATCTGACTGACCCTCTAGATAAGTAATTCGATTTTTGAAATCCCTGTATTCGATACATGTGCACAATAACATATACTCACAGATCTTGAAACTCTTCATATGATCTGTCTGGCGTAAATACATTGAGGAGACCAATAATCTAAAAAGCAAGAGACAGAAACTGAGTCAATAAAAATTAACTTGAGTAATCACAATGTATATAAACTGTTTTGTGTTTTTTTGTTTTGTTTTTTTCTTTTCTCAAGGATTTCCAGCCTTGGGAAAAGCTGTAATTGAACATGCGTAAAATTATGATAATTCCACTGTGATGATATCAATGACGCAATGTTTGATATCGTGTTTGACCCTTTAACTGTAACCATTTCCTGGTTGGAAAGAGCCACTAACAGAGATAGGTGTCTTACTCAAGCAAGAAATAAGCAACAACTAAGAACCATTTTATACCAAGTCTTTAAACTACACCTAGGCCATGCTACCTCCCCCTGGGGGAACTCCCATATGAAAAGGCCAGGGATGCTCATCAGAAATTAATTTGAATTAAACTCCTGAAGGAGACCAATCTCGGCATAGCGCAAGCTTTTATTGACCCCTAAGAGACGCCACAAGCATCCTGAC